CAGAAAGGGGTCAGTCAAGTTGGAATGGCAACATCCTTCTCTAAATTGTCCCCCTGCATTGCCCACAAAAGGGTGAGTCAAGTTGGAATGACCACTTCCTTCTCTAGATTTAGCCCCTGCATTGCCCACACAAAGGGGTGAGTCAAGTTGAAGTGGCAACATCCTTCTCTAAATTTTATCCTCGGGTGGCTCACCAAGGGGCGCGTCAACTTGGAAGGGCCACTTCCTTCTTAAAATTTTGCCCCTGCATTGCCCACCAAAGGGTGCGTCAAGTTGGAAGGGCAACACCCTTCTCTAAATTTTACCCCTGCATGGCCCACAAAAGGGTGAGTCAAGTTGGAAGGGCCACTTCCTTCTCTAAATTTTACCCCTGCATTGCCCACACAAAGGGGTGAGTCAAGTTGGAATGGCAACATCCTTCTCTAAATTTCACCCCTGCATGGTCAACATACAGGGGTGAGTCAAGTTGGAATGGCAACATCCTTCTTGAATTTTTCCCATTGCATTGCCAACATAAAGGGTGAGTCAAGTTGGAATGGCAACATCCTTCTCTAAAATTTACCCTCGGGTGGCTCACCAAAGGGCGCGTCAACTTGGAAGGGCAACTCCTCTAAATTTTACCCTGCATTGCCCACACAATGGGGTCAGTCAAGTTGAAATGGCAACATCATTCTTTAAATTTTACCCCTGCGTTGCCCACAAAAGGGTGAGCCAAGTTGGAATGACGCTTCCTTCTAAATTTGACCCCTGCATTGCCCACACAAAGGGGCGAGTCAAGTTGAAATGGCAACATCCTTCTCTGAATTTTGTCCCCTGCATGGCCCACCAAAGGGTGACTCAACTTGGAAGGGCAAAATCCTTCTCTAAATTCTACCTCTGCATGGCCCACAAAAGGGTGAGTCAAGTTGGAAGGGCCACTTCCTTGTCTAAATTTTACCCCTGCTTTGCCCGCATAAAGGGTGAGTCAAGTTGAAGTGGCAACATCCTTCCCTAAATTGTCTCCTCGGGTGGCTCATCAAAGCGCGCGTCAACTTGGAAGGGTAACTTCATCCTCTAAATTTTACCCCTGCTTTTCCCACACGGGGGTGAGTCAAGCTCAAACGGCTACATCTTTCTCTAAATTCTACCTCTGCATGGCCCACAAAAGGGTGCGTCAAGTTGGAAGGGCCACTTCTTTCTGTAAATTTACCCCTGCATTGACAAAGCAACATCCTTCTCTAAATTCCGGTCACCGGTCACCGCCCCGGTCACTGGTCCGTCTCCGGTCCGGTCCGGCCTGGTCACCGGTCCGGTCACCGGCCCGGTCACCAGTCACCGGCCCGGTCACCGGTCACCGGTCACCGGCCCGGTCACCGGTCCGGTCTCCGGCCCGGTCTGCGGCCCGGCCCGGTCCCGGCCCGGTCACCGGTCCGGTCTCCGGCCCGTCTCCGGCCCGGTCTGCGGTCCGGTCTCCCGCCCGGTCCTGTCACCGGTCCGGTCACCAGTCCCGTCTCCGGTCACCGGTCTGGTCACCGGCCCGGTCACCGGTCACCGGTCTGGTCACCGGCCCGGTCCGGTCACCGGCCTGGTCACCGGTCAGGTCCCCGGCCCGGTCTCCGGTCACCGGTCTGGTCACCGGCCCGGTCACCGGTCACCGGCCCGGTCACCGGTCCGGTCTCCGGTCTCCGGCCCGGTCTCCGGTCACCGGCCCGGTCACCGGTGCGGTCTCCGGTCTCCGGCCCGGTCTCCGGCCCGGTCTCCGGTGCGGTCTCCGGCCCGGCCCGGTCCGGTCACCGGCCCGGTCACCGGTCACCGACAAAAAAAAAGAAGTATATACTGCAACTTGTCGCATATTATATAGCTCCAAACAGTGCTTCGGGAATTTCCAATGTTTACCACCCCCTGACACCGGGGGTGACACCGGTACAGTTCGGGGCCCCCCCCCGTAGAGCCGGAGAGTGGCCGAGTTCAGCGGCCTCCAAGGTCCATCGAGAAGCAGAAGCCATCGCAGGGCGATGATCCTGAAACCGATGAGCCGGCCATGTTGCCGATCGCCGCGCAGGCGCGCGAATGGTCGAAGCCGAGCCGAGCCCCAAGTTGTGCGAACCTGTTTTTGGGTGCACCGGGGGCGCGGCTGCTTTTTTGGGGGTGGCGGTGGCCGTGGTTCTTTCTTCCTCGCTTTCTTTGCTTTTCTTTCGTTTTTTTGGGGTGGTGGTGGCTGGTTCTTTTGCAGTTGGAAGAGTTTTCAATGTTGTCCTGTCCTTCCTGCCCACCGACCGGTCGGTCAACCGAGCCGCTCCGGGGGTTTCACCCGGCCGTCCGGCGTTGGATTTCCACCATGGCGCCATCGATTCCAGTCGGGAGGCGTTGGGGACGAATCACGCCACCGCACCTTTTTCCTTCCCAGACTCCCAGACGCGACTAATATGACTGCCATAGGACTGCCGATCAGTTGGGTTGGTTTTGGGGGTCAATGTAGCCATATATATATATATTATACTGTATATATATATATACTGTATATATATATATATCCATATATTCCATACATGGAGTCTACGGGGTTGGCAAGTGCGGTGAACATTTTTTTTTCAAATTTTCCGGTGATCGTCGACAAGGAGCCAGAAGACAAGGAACCTGAAGAGAAGGGGATTGAAGACAAGGAGGAGATCGTCGAGTTGGTTGGGAGCTCAGCTGGCCGCGGTGTTTGTTCCCAGTGTTTGTTTTTGCCCAAAAGAGATGGTCATGAGAGGGACGGGGATGTGGAAGGGAGTGGAGAGCGTCCCGTTGTGGAGGATTTAGACAGGATCCAAAAAAGGTACCACCGAAGTCTTCAGGACACTCCTAGACTTGGGTCACGTGACTTCGAAGGAGCAACGGGTTCCAGTACTCGTACCTCCGTTCGGAAGGGTTTCCCAAAAAGGCCACCGTTCGATGCCCTTTCACCTTGCGGGAGGTGGGGGGGGGTGAGGAGGCGGTTTCGGTTTCGGTGTTCTTCTCCGTCAGGCCAGATCCGACGGGTCGGTCCTGGATGTTCCGGTGGAATTCTGATTCCGAAGCCACCCCAGACGCGACCTGTCTGGCAGTGGCCATAGGACTGCCGAGAAACGGCCAGGGGGTGGTTGACTGGGGGGTCACTGTAGCCATTATATTCTATACATGGAGTCTATGGGTACGAACGCAGAAAAATGTGAGCCTGGTGGCATCCGCCGTGGTGACGTTTCCGAGGTCCGCCCAGAGATGCTGGAGGCTCCAAAGGGATGTGTTGGGGCGGAAAGGGTTTTGGCAACTATTTGGAAGAACTCCTGGACTTAGATGCTACTAGATGACCATCTTACAGAACATCCTAGATATACAACATAATAAGATTGTTCAAACTTGATCTATATAAATTGATTGGTGACACGTACTGTATCCATGCACACTCTGACCCGAACTCGTCTGCCCCTCAGAGAAGCCAGGACCGTCCTATGTTCGGCGCGTCCGTTGGGACATGTCATCTCGGGTGCCAACAGGCTCAGTTTCTTTTAAGGGGTGTCCTAGAAACCTTGGCAGCTGCAAGTTCCTTTCATGGTTCTTTCAATCAGAAGGGTGTTCGGTTCTCTCAACTGTGGCCACCGTGCGGGTGGCCTCCGTGCGGGTGGCCTCCGTGCAGCTGCCGGTCCGTTGGGACCTCCGTCGGTCGCACGGTGTAACTCGGAGGAGTGGCGAAGGCAAACCGCCATGGAGTACAACCGCATGATTACCGAGAGCAGGCGATGGGGGACGGGACCAACGAGTCGTCCTTGGAGTTCCGGGTCGCTGACGAACGTTCGTAGACTTTTCAGGACATCTGCTTTATTGGGGCCAGCAGTCCTGACGGAAGGCCCTGGAATTCCAGATGACTAATACTTTTTTGGGTAATTTTGTCCGGTTGAAGTAAAGCAAGTTCCTTTTGGACTTACCTCAAGCCACCTAAAGACCAGAATGATAGAAAACATAGATGCAACAAACAGATGCATCGTCTAGGACTCCCAAGGAGGATCATCTTCCGTCCTTACAGCCTCACAGCCTCACAGTCACCTCTTCCGTGGAACATCCGAGCGCTTTCCAAGCGGCACGAGGCGTATGCATGCGGAGAGCTTCACGCGTGCGGGGTCGGGGGAACTCAGAGAGGTTTAAACGGAAGGTGCGGTTCACAGTTTTTCTTTGGACATGTTCAAAGATTTTTCGCATTTCGCCACTTTTTTTTGAGTACCCAGCTGGGTTGGAACACACCATTGATTATGGGGAGTTTACACTACAAAACCAGATCAACCACTTTAAGAATGATCTTGAACTTCCAGGCAACACATATACACATGTATATATTGTGAAGGAACATGCAGAAACACATCATGTTTCGTCTTGCTCAATTCAGTCAAGGCTTTCTGATACCTTTTGGGCCACCGATGCAGCAAACGGCAGTCGTTCGGCGCTCTCTCTTCACCGTTCACGGCTCGTCGCAGCGGCGGCCGTCGCCTCTCGGGTGTCGTGACGAGGCCTGCAAATCGCTACGGTGAGTTAGGAGAGCTTCCTGCCTTCAAAGAAGGCGGTGGATCGGGGAGAACGAGGGCTCTTTCTGAGAGATCGGAGATGGGCCGTTTCCAGAGGTGACTCGTGGTCGGCTGGGGAAAGGTAGCAGATGGCATGTGAAAAAGGTCTGTTTGAGAGGTAGCAACACATACCTTTGAACTAGAGAGTGTCAACGCATGTGAGTGCGCAGTCCTGCTTCACTGGAGGTCCTCTTCACCGAGTCACTGCTGTTTCCGCACGACGGCGCCAGGCAGGCATGTGCCGACCTTGGCGCTGATTAATCCTATGCCGGACACCCAAGACCGCCCATCGGGAACTGGAGAGAAGCGAGGCAACGGACGAGGTGGGTGATTCGAAGCACAGAAGAGTTAAAGACGGCGGGGAAACATGGGAAACTCTTTGGTCAAAGCATGCAGTTTTTGTTCACTGCACAACCTCTGTGAGGTTTTGATGAGGCCCCCTAGACTAAGCACAACCTCAAGTTTTGAGACATGTAGAGGCCTGTGCTGGTATGTAGTACAACAAGCCTTAGTGCGACAGGGCAGACTTGGGCAGCAGCGTCATCAATTGGCCTGCATGATGGGTCAATGACTGCTTTTCATCTCCATTCAGAGCCATTCGAGGGCCACGGAGATTGCCTCCACAGCGCTATCTCGCAGGCTTTCCAAACTAGCACTAGCAACTACTTATTCATGCTTAGACTGCGTGACCGAACGCTGGTGCCATGTCGATCTACAGATGCATTTTTGTTTGCCTGACGCTTTGGTGGACGCAGATTGCATTTTTGCAAGGCGCCTTCACAGGCATCACATATCCATGGCCAATCAAAACCAGAACCAGAAGAAACTACCGTCTTTCATTCGCTGCAGGCCTTTGGGTTTTGATTTCCTTGTCAGTCTGTGCACGGGGAGAACCCATATCGTCCGCGATGTCATGACATTCAGCTTCTGGAAAAGCATCATTGGAGATCATGTGCAGTTTTGCTGCCGCACCTCTCAGCTCTTTCTAGGCCGGCCCTCCTCCCGACCTCGCCCTGTCCGCATTGCACGTTCAGTGCGGGAGGAGAAGCGGCCTCCACGCAGACGGAAGGAACGTTCGCCCAGGTGCAGAGGGTTTGGTGAAGCTACCTACCCCCCCCGAGGGCAATGAAGCTGGTACAGGAATCGTTTCTTCAAAGTGCTAGTTCTTGTTTGAGCATTTGGAGAGGAAGGAACTGTCGAAGGAAAGAAGGAACGTGAAACTTTTCACAGCCCTAGCTAATTTGATCAATCCTTCCAATGAAGCCAGGCCGGTAGTACCATAGTAGGTGTGTTGGGTTTGCCGGCCTTTTCATGATCCATTTCCAGAGGAGTGAATTTGAAAGATGACCGCATGTCAGTACAGAACAGCGAATAGTGTATTTGCCACCTCTTTTCACCTGGTTTAGACTAACACTTGCTTGGGTGAACGAAAGATAACCCTGATGTGCTTTGGACACCTTCGAGAGGTTTGCCGGAGAAGATTTTGGTTTTATCCGCAACCAGATGCACGAGGCAGCCCTGAGAGGAGATTTGAACAGGGCTGCAGAGTGCTTTCAATGGCTTGGTGCGAATCCAGACTTTGTCGTTGACGGCAATGCCATCACCACCGTCATTCAAGCCGCTGCCAACGGAGGAAACTTCCAGGGTGCTCAAGCTTGGTTTGGAAAGCTCTTGGATTATGGCCTAAATGCAACTATTGCCTCATATACTGCTGTGATTACAGCTGCGGCTAAAAATGGATTGAAGAACGAGGCCAAGGAGTGGTTTGAGGCCATGCAATACGATCAAATCAAACCAGATACAGCGGCTTTTGGCGCAGTAATGTCCGCTTTCGCCAATTCTGGAGACTTGATCGAGACAGAGAACTATTTGGATATGATGAGTGCGCGTGGCTTGAAACCCAATCGGATTATCTTTGGGATAGCCACTCGTTGCATGGGATTCCTACAGCTTTTAGGGTCGGGGTTTGTTGTTGCCATCACCCCTCAAGGTTTGCTTCCCGCTCATCTTTCCACCCAGGTGCTTCGTGCCGCGTCAAGGACAGGAAATGAAGCCACTGCACTGAAATGGTTTGAAAGGATGAAGAAGGCTGGCATGAAACCAGGTGTCAGGGAGTTCACTGAGCTTATCAATCTAGCAGGGCGTCAGGGGAACGTTCTCGCAGCCGACGCTTCCACGCTTTCTTCATCAAACCGTTTGACGTTTTTCTCACTTCTTTTTTAAACGAGTTTGGGCGCAGAATTTCCAGGGTCAGACGCAAGGCTCGTTGCTGTTACGACACATGCTGAGGAGAACCACTTCAATAATATGCTGGAAGCAGCCGTGGTGCCAGACAAGATTGCCTACAGCTCTGTCATGAAAGCAGCAACCAGGGCGAAGGATGTGGACCTTGCTGCTGCCTATTTCAAGAGAATGAAAGATTGCAAGATGATTCCCTCGGCGGTTGCCTATGTTACTTTGATGAGAGGGTTGCTGAATTCAGGCAAGTATGATGAAGCCTTTGGCATATTTAGAGAGATGCAGACAGCAGGGCATGCCAGCAACAGCATGGACTACAATGATGCATTCACGTGCTTGTGGCATTTAAAGCGAGAGGACGAGATTGAGCCGCTGCTGCAGGAAATGCTGTCGAAGAAAGTGAAACTGACTGGCACTTGCGTGACAACTCTCCAGACAGCACTGGGGAGAAACGCATATCTTGATCTGCGCCAGAAATATCAACTGGACGCACACCAGGACCAAGGCAATAGGCAAATTGCATCAAAAATCAAGCGAAAACAAGATGCAAAACTTGAGAACATGCTTCGGGATCAGATGAAGGCCAAGCTTCGTAGGCGAGAAGTGTTCCGAGCCGAGGACGGGTGTTGACGTCAGACTTGAGGCCCTGGGGCCCATTGGTTCCAGACGTTGTCCCTCCTGAGTCCCGAGTCCTGAGCCGCAGGCCGTTTGCAAGGAATATCTCCTTGTGCCACCCAATGGATGCGAGTGCCAAGGAGGATCGGAGTCGGAGAATGTGGAAAAGATGGCAGCTGTTGGTCTTGTGGGCCCAAACTTGGAATGTAAATGGTTGCATACCCAAGCGGACCAGCTCGAACCAGCTCGAATGTGGACCAAGGGACTCACCGGCCAGCAAGAGCCCAGATCTAGGTGTGTTACCCAGATCTGGGGATGCCTGGGTGAACACGTTTCGCTCCCGAACAACCTGTTTAGGGGCTCCTGGCCGTACTACTAGGAGCAAGGTTCGCTACGAACGGGGCGAACCTGGGGCGAACCTGGCATCGCTACGACCGGAGCGATCGGACGCCTTTAGCGAACGGCTTCAGTTCGCCCTGCCAGCTCTCCGCCCAGAAGCCCAGGTCTGGTGCAGCTGCTGGGATGGATATTTTGCAGGTGGCCAGGCGTTGCGATTACTACAAGGCGTGGCGGGTGTGGCGTTCACGGCGCTGTGAAAGTACTCTAATCCAGCTGTGGTGGGCTGTCCTAATCCAGCTTAAGAGAAGATGATTCAAATAGCCACGGTGAACATCATAATTATACATATGACGAGGCTCTTGATGACTCAAAGACGTAAGAACATATGACGAGGCTTTAGCCATCTAAATGAGGGGGTTCTATGAATCAAGAGTCTACTTTCCTGGAAAGCCACCGGACCTTCAGCCCCGGACTCCAGACCGCCCGGTCTGGTCTGTTTCACCACCGTTCCGAGAGCTTTTTTCTCGGATTGTGTGGCCATCGGATGTGTGGCACGTCCTGGAACATGAGTCCCATGTGTACCATTTTAAAGAAACAACCACCTTGGCATGGACATTCTCTCCCCTAACAACGCATCACACATACAGCCGTGCGGCCGACCTTGGTGGGGCCAGGAACGATTCTTCAACATTATCGATGTTGCTCGACACTCAGTTGGCTGGTCGTCCAAATGGTCGTCCGGCTCGCTGTGGTCCAAAACAGAACTCACCCGAAGGTTGTGAAAGGATGTCACCCCTCAATTTTGGAGCCATATATATATATATATATATATGTGGCATACTGCGACAGAGAAGCTTTTTGGAGCTATTCATGGACACCGGTGGTTTTCTGTGGTGCTGGTGGTTTTCTGTTTGGTGCCGGTCGTTTCATATACCTCCGACATCCTCCGACCACTTGTGTGGATTTGGATGCCCGCTCGCTCGTGCACCGCTCCGTGAGAACGTAAGCTGAGCTAAGGTCAAAGGCCAACATCGAGGTGGGCTGCTTGATGTGTTCAGGCGCCAAAGATGAGTTGTCAGTCAGTTCGATGAGATCTCGCTGGGGTTTGCTGGGGTGGCATTTTCCCATTTCTTCGCTGGCCAAAGCAAAGAGGGGTGATGAATGAAAGTACTTTTGACCAACCCACCTAAACTCGTCACGAGTTTTGTTTTCTTGGCATTTTTTTTGCTGTCAATTGATCTGATGCTTCCGTCTTGGCGGTTTGGGCGTGTCTCTTTCTTCATCAAAGTAGATGGAGCTCCCCTGGAATCATTGGCCGGAGAAGGTGCATGACACCTTGCCAGAATTGGTATTCGGATTGAAAAGGGTCATCCGCCTTCACTTCCATGATGATTCAAACTGAATGTGGAAAGAGTCTGTATGAAAGAACACCACATTCCAGACGACTGTAATACAGACTACAGACTTCATACTACTGTACTCTCATACAGACTACATGAAAGAGCCATGCATCAAAAGTGACTACTGCCGGCGGGAGCTGAACTTCACCGCGGGTCCCTCTGGAACCAAAGCGCTCGGATCTGCGTGAGCCGTGCGGAGCGGTGTGTGACTCGTGGTGTGCAGGATTGAGCTGTGCAAGGCCAAAGCAGAAGCTCAAGATATTGGGATGAGGTGGGAAGTCTGAGGAAGTGTGAGATGAAGCTGTGACCCGAACAAGTGGATGAAGATGGTGGACAACCGTCGGGTGAACATGGTGGGTCGCGACCCATCTCCCAATTTTTGGTGCGAGGATTGGTGGGTGCTGTGCTTTGTTGGGTGATTTCTTTTCTTTTCGGTCGGGTGAAGAAGCAAAGCTGCGCCAGCAGCAAGAGACATGTGTTTTTTGTTTTCAAGAACTGGTATAGACGTCGTTTTCATCAACCGTCTACACCCGGGAACCTGTCTGTACTGTGCCGGGCCCGACTGGGTGCGCCAGGCCGCGACTGATTTCAGGTGGCGGAGACGGAACTGGGTGGTGACCCCAAGACCGACCGGGACTGGACCTGCAGTGGGCCTGAGTGGTCCAACCAAATGGGAGGCTGAGTGGTCCATCTCAGCATCTCAGCAGCATCCATTGCATGTGGAAAATGGCCCATGAAGTGATTTGGGCAGAGGAATCATTAAAAACGAGGTACGGTTCACATTTGGTGGTCCCTTCTGTTCATGTTACAATCCAGGAATCCACTGTAGGCAAAAGATGGAACCTCTGGGACCATATTCGCACATGGGAAAGCTAAGGGAGTGACTTCATTCGCCCTCCCGCATGGCCCTGGCCCTCATGCTGCTGATTTCATCCCGGCATGGCTCGCCTGAGGTCTTTCGCCATTTTCATGATTTTCCTGGCGTTGAAGGCGACCAGAGTCGAAGCGAACAGACGCGTAGTAACCACATGCGGAAGACTCGGGCGTAGTATGTACCTGAAGACACCCATCAAAACGTTTTGTTCATGGCGTTGTAGAGTTGATGACTAGGCCAGGCACTGGTTTATGTTTAAACACATCAAAGCTTTGTTTCAAGTGTCTTAAAGCAAAGAAAGGAACACATGCTGTGCAAATGAGAGTTGTGGAACAAATCTGGTTTGGGACCCTGCAGGCTGATTCTTCTCGAGCGCATGAGGGTCTGGAGGAGAGTGCTTGTTGTTGGTCAAGCTGTTAAGCTTGCTTTTAGATGGAATTCCAAGTGCATTCTTTGTCCAGAAGCACATTCTTCGACTCGTCTCTTTGTCCAGATCGGACGCAGCCTTTGAGTCTTCGGTACCTAGCTGTTGCAGCACAGGTATACTGTGCAGTGAGGAGTCCTTGAGTCAGTGCGCAGTCTTGGTTCCCGTCTCAGCCTTCCTTTTTTCCGGACCGAGATGAACGCTGCACTTCCGTACCCCCCCGAACAGTCTGTCCCACCGACATGAGCGGCCCCATTCCTTTGAAGGAAGGCTTGTTGAAACAGGGCAGTTTTCACTTCGGGCCCGTGGGCTGAGATTCGGCAGATTCGGCATCTCTTCCCAGAAATGCGAGGATTCACAATCGATTCTGCACGACCCCTCTGGCGGTCCTGGTTTTGGGGGGCGACACATCTGGGCCGTGGGGAGAGCTTGCAGGACACGGGGAATGGTTTCATTTGGACCGACGAAGAGATGGCAGAGCAGCGGCGCTCAGTGGGACGTTCGATCTCAGAGTGGTTTGGAGGGAAGTTTCACCCACCATTCTGACCATTCTGGATCTATGTAGCAGACAAGGACTGGAAAGTGCTCAATTGATATCATCTTTGCTACGTCGGTTTGGGCGAATTGACCCGGAAGCGACTGGAGATGTGATCTTTTTGGCGCGTCTAGCCCCGAAGCAATAGGTTGCTCATGAGTACTTCTCTCTTGTGTGCCGTTCAGAGTTTTTGAGACAGGCCTTGTGACTGAGAACCCGTCGACTGACCCCCTGCGAGAGCTCTCGGCCTTGCTCAGGAGTTTTCCAGCCATCGCGCAGATGCCTTTAGGCTCTGCGAATGACTTTGGAAACATTCTGGGTTGGGGCCAGCCGGGAGCTCAGACGGCATGGCACCACTGTGACACCCCAAGTTTCAGCAGCAGTTCTACTTCGCACCCCGACATGTGCCAAACGGCGTGAGCGAGTCTGGAGTGAGAGAACTCACTCGCGTCTCACGGGGCGTGACGAACTGAAGCCGGCCTTTTTGGGAACGAAACTGACCGGCACGGCCCCATGAACTTGGAAGGCAGGTAGTCCATAGGGCCCCACCTCGGCATCGGATCGGAGGAGTGACCACCATGCGACCGGTGCCCCACCGGTGCCCCAGCTTCTCCCGGATTTTGCCCACCCGAAAGCCATCCACTGACCCTCCGGCCGCGTGTGCCGGTTCTCCTCCCTCACCGGAGCCTCACCGCTCCGCTCCAATAACCCCACCGGACTCGACGACCGCCGCGCGCCGCTCGAGGAAATATCCGGGCGACGTGATGTGCGGCTCTGGCCCCTGCGGTGCACGAGAGGCGGGCTCCGTGGGGCAGGCGGGCGAAACGGCGGCAGCGCGGGGCCTATGGACCGCAAGCCAAAGAAGCGTGGGTCCGTGGGTGGCAGAGCGTTTGGTGGGGCAGAGAGCCCTAGGGCTCCAAGCCCGTGCCAGGCGGGCGGACGTGGGAGCCCCTAGAGAAGAGATGTTTCCCAACACTACCCTGAGCCTCACCCCTGGCTTCATCGAGCACGAATGGGGCTTCACATCGATCAGAAGGACCAGCGCAGCGCAGGTGCAACGACCCACCTGCAGGTTTTGGGCACCATGGACATCCATGGACCGACTTCCCCAGGTCGTGAGTTGGAGGATGTTTGACGAGGTGGCCCACTGACAACAGTGGTGTATTCCATGGTAACGAGCACGGGAAGTTGTACAAAAAACTCTGTTGCTTTTCTGGTTCACCACAGATTGGGGTTTTCATCCAGACCCTTCAATCCTGCCGGGTGTGTCTGAACAAGGGGATGTGAATGCCGGGGTAGCTAGAGGAAGTGAGAGGACTGCTGTGTAGCAGACAATAGGGGCGTCAGTCAAAGGCTACAACACATTACAAAACAGTGCCATAGAAGCTGAATAAGGCATATATATACTATATATATATATATATTACATATATTACATATGTATTAAATGAACATATATATATATATATAAATATTGAATGAAACGGGCCACACATTTGCCGCAGGTCTTTTCGTTTTCTGCATGTTCTGTCCCGGCGCTTTCCCCCCAAAAAAAGCATCGGACTCGTGGCGTTCGAGGCGGCCTTGTACCAGCTGCAGCGGTGGGTGATGCTGGCTTGTTGGCCAAAAGTATGACGTATGTGACGTGCCACAAAACGACCGCAGTAGTGGGTAGAAGAAAGCATTTTCTTCACTTGTTGGCCATGCTGGAACCAGCAGTTGGTCTCTAGGTTCTCAGTGACTTTTCAAGAGGTTTTATCAAATGTAGTCGCCGGTTTGGCTGATGAGTCGTGGTGTAGAACTGATGTCGCGAAGATTCAGCTATTTGACTTCACTTCTTGCTCTAAAGAAACATGTATTGGAATAGGACCCGACCGTGCGCGCGGCCTGTCCCGTCCAGCTGACCCAAAAAAACCGCGTGTCTTTTTCTGGTCTTCTGGTCCACCATGTTTGGTCCTGCGACCCCGAAAAAGGGGTAGACCTTCGACCCTGCCCCCTCCCAGTAACTACCTAAACACACATGGTGGTTGTAGTGGTAGGGGGCAGACTCAAAGGTAGACCCAATTTTCTATCCTACCCTAAACCCCGACCCTGTTGATCGACCAGCCCCTCAGCTCCCGCACCAGACAGGTGCCGATCGAAGCTTTCCGCACAGAGTCTCCCCCCCTCGGTGGTTTCAGATATGGGCGTGTATTTCAACAGGGAGACCTCCCAGTTCGACCCCTAAAAGAAGGGAAATGAACCAAAATCTGTTGGTTGGGGATCTCCCTATTCAGATACACACCCATATATGTTCAATCCTTTAGTTTGACCCTTTAGCTGGGATGATTTGTCATCTCACTGGAATCCCACTGACTTGAACCATTGTTCGTTTGGTTGAACCGTTGAAACCAATAACCATGACATCCAGTCCGACTTCGCCCATACAAAATAGAGAATGGTTGTTGGACACCCATTTCCCTTCTTGCGACGCTTGCGAGGCTATTTATAGACACCTCCAACGGCTCAGGTCCTGGTCGAGGTCACTCAGATTCATGGGAAACCGCCCAAAAGTCACACCCAGCGCCGTCCTCCGTGATCCGCGCGCGGCGCGAGCGACGCGCTCCGCAGATCAGCGCCGTGATCGATCCCAAGAGCCGCATCGTGAACTTCGACGTCTGGGGGTCCGGGCGCCCAAATCCGGTGGTGCGAGAAATGCCGGTGGACTGGGGACTGGGAGAAATGCCGGTGGGGAGAAATCCGGTGGAAACCGGTGGGCGCGGGTGTTTGGGGAGGTTTTCTCGAGGGTTTGGCCTCAGAACCTGAGGAAGCTCCAAAATACAAAATGGAGACACCGTTGAATTTGGGGTGGTTGATTTCAGAGGTCTGTCTGGGGCGGCATATGTTCCAGCAGTTCCATGAGTCGTGTCTGGGAAAAGTACCTCACAGCTTCAATACATGGAATTTCTTGAATTCAGCTCCCACATGGCTCTTCTCGACCAGTCAAGTAGACCGCTAGTCAGGCGGCTCAAGCTCTCTGGGTCTCTAAAGACGAGGTGCCGAGTCCGGGGGGGCTGCTGCCCTCGACCGTTCGGAGCTTTGGAGCTCTGAGGTTTATGCCTCCCAAGGGCTCGGACCAATGTAACTTCAAGCCGCCTGGGTGGCAAGTTGGAAATGCAGCCGAAATCTGAAAAAAAAAAGAAGGACCGCATGGGGGACAGCCATTTTTTGCAGAGGAGAGTGCCAGTTTTGATTCCAAAATCTCGCACAGGATTTGGGATTTCGATTCAGAAAGAAGCCTTGAAGATGCTCTCAGACTTTGGACCGACTTTGAACCATACACTGGCCAGACAAATTCTTTGCGCTTCTGAAGAAGCACAAACTCATGTCAACCCTTTACCCCCTAGAAATCCTACATGGTTAACAAACCAGCAGTCACAAAAGGGTGCCTATTGGAGGATAGGGGTGCCCATTATCTACTCACTTATGGACTAAAAACCACCCCTTTGTGACTTTTGTCTGCTTGAAGCCCTTTTTTCACCAACCGTTTGTCTGCCCGGCGCGCTCACCGCGCACCGCGCGAACCGGCACTGAAGTAAGGCTCGCTGAACTGACCGGCCAACGAGGGCGGAACCCCAACCGCAAGATCGATGGGAAGCATCAGGTGGTGCTCAAGCAGGTTGGGGCTGTGCAGGGGGGCTGTTAGGGCCGGCAGAATACACGCCGCCAGGGTGGGGAAACGGTGCACGGTGCATTTTGTAATTTTAATAGAGAGAGAACCCAACCAATGTGTTTTAGTCCATTTCTCTTCTTTCAGAAGGTTTTGGGAGGTCTCCCTATATATTTTAGTATACATATTAATTCACACCCATACTTGTATGGTGTGTGACAGTGCGTCCTTCGTTGTTCGAAAAGCAACGTTCGTCCCTCCACCTGTTTTGGTGGTCAAAAGACCGCACAAAAACAAGTGGGCAAACACACGCAAGTCCGGTCCAACAAAGACTGCGAACGCGTCGAGGCAAACACGCACTTTCCCACAATGGTCAGGCTGGAGAGCCTTAGGCAAGCTTTCATTCTCAGGTTCAATGTCCCCAGACTGCGAACGGCCAGAAACCATTGAGGCTGTGGTCCAGTCTCTCCAGCCAAACATCAAAGTCTGCAGGCTACTTGGCCAGGTGACGCGTTCCAAGCTCTGGTTCAAGTCTGCAGGCTGCTGAAGAAGCAGAAGCCGGCCGAAGGTTTCATTCGGTTTCTTCTGCCAGGTTTGGCATGCTTCACTCGCCAGCCATGCGGATCCTTCCGCCTCTGCATCAAGCCCACTCAACGGCAAAAACTGGACCTTTCTGATTCGGCAACTGTCTCTGCAAAAGAAAGAATGCTGCAAATCACAGCCGTACTCAGTAGCGAGGTCAAGCCAAGTTCCGCCGATAAGCCTTTCAAAGGCACGCTGCAAAAAACGCGTCCTCGTTGTCAAAATCTTTAGGCGTTGGACACCATGTCCTGCGTCCTGGAAATGTTGTTTGGACCAATGTGCTATTCACTCAGACGTGCCACCGTCGTGCGTTCGTGAGCATGTTTTTTTATCGTTTGCCGCGCGTCGGACAACAACAAACAACAAGCGATTGGTTGGGCGACCTGCCGTGCGTCGGAAAGCTGATCCCCTACACCAAAAGTCATGTCGGTTTCATGTTCAAAGCAAGCCAAGAGACAGGCCTGTCCAGGTTCTCAAACCACTGGTCGTCCTGGTTCTCTTTGGTGGAGCTGGTCGTTGGGGGGTCCAGCTGTGACCGTTCTTGACCTCCCCCCGCGAACACTGCCCGGGTCACAGGCCGGAAAACCTGTGCCGTTCTTTGCCGCGCTCTGAGTGGAGAACATGTGGAGAAGCCCGTGAAACCTGGAACCAGAAGCCTGCAATGCAGAAGACTTGCAAACGAACACTTGTTCTATACCAAGCTTTGGGAAAAAAGCACCATGGTTGACAGCCCAAAAAACCTGAAACACTTCCGCGCCGAGGTGTGCTTGTACTTCTCAGCCGGCATCGGAGTGCCTTGTTTGGACACAGCTGACGGAACGAGCGCAGACGGTGACGGTGACCACAGCGTTTCAGTGACCACAGTTTCAGTGTTGCCAGGATTGCACCGGGCAATCTGGGCCAAAACCACAAGTGCTACAACCCACAAATTTGGGAGGTTTCCAAGTCACAGTACGGGGGAGGTGGGACAGCTTGCGGCCATCAATGTGGTGGTTTCTCTAGGCATTGGTCAAGAAAACAGTTCCTCCATGGGCCAACTGGAGATGTAGAATATTGCTAAAGAAAGGATCATGCTTTCCACTGCCTACAATTGTTCTTGCATGGCTCATGCAAGATATCCCGTAGTCCCATCGCACCCATGGCACATCATTTTGACCAGTTCATCACTTTTCAACCATCAGCAGGGTGGCACTGTTCACCTCTTCAGGGGGCCGTTTTTCGTGGCCAACCTCGGTGTCCGGTCGGACGCGTCTCCGGACCGGACGTCCGCCCCGGTCTCCACGGTCTCCGGAGTCGGAGCGACGTCGCGGAAGTGACCCAACAACGGAGCCACTGGAGCGGCCGAGGCCTACATGACGTCGCGCTTCCAGATCAACCGGCGGAAGACGCCGCTGAGGAATCGCGCGGAGCCACTCGGAGGGCAAACACGGGGGTTTTTGAGCTCCCTGTGGATCGGGGAAGGAAGCTTGCTAGGTGCTGGGGGTGGGAGAAGAATCAAAGAGATCAGGCCTCAAGACTCCAAAGGGTGTTTGTGACTGGTAGGAAACAAAATACGAATGACCAGTTTTTTTCCCGGACACTGAACAGGTCTAGGTGTTCGTCCAGTTTTTTCAGGTCCCGTTCATCTCGTCTCCCATGGTCGGTGCTTTCAAAGTCAGGGAGCTTTGGCAGGGTCGAAAATGGGTTTCCAAAGGTTTTCGAACAGCTTCACATTTTCAAAGCAAAGGCAGTGAGCTTTAGAGCCCAGAGATTGGTTTGCGGTTTCGGTTTCCTTCAGAGTTTGAAGTCACCATGGAGTTTGGAACAGGTGAATCGGTAGTTTCGATGGATCGATACGAGTTTCACTGGTGGGGCCCACAGGGCTCTGGTGGCGCCCGCTGAAGCGATTTTCCACGTGATTGCTCTTCAGGTACGTGAGACAATTGCTTGGTATTGTCTTGGAGTCAAATCCACCGCAGCATCTCCAGCTTGTTTGAGCTTTGCTGTCGAACTGACCATGAATGTGGCGGTTTTTCGACGGCTTCATCAGGTTTGAAGCGGCTTTCATGCGTGCAAGCCTGAAGACATTGTTGCCGTACCTCCAGCCTTCAAGAACTTTACTATGTTTTGGTGATGTTCATGACCAAACGACCCCCCTGGTAAGAGCTTGCAGTACTTTGGGTGAGTTTAGTATGGGTGATCATGGAACAACTGACCATTCTTGGCTCCAAAACGCAACAAAACTATACAAAACTGACCAAAACCATACAAAACTGTCCCAAACTGGATGACACTTCACTCTGACCCCGTCCACTCCCCTGCCGGATTTAATACCTGGGTTCCTGCCGGGTCCACCTTTGCCCTCCCCACAGTCCCCACTCCGCTCCGCGTCATGAGCCGTCTCGCCGCTCTGCGCGCTCCGCGCCGCCAGATTGGCGGGGCGGCTGAACGGCGTCACCATCGACTGCGAGGATCGACCGCTCGGGGAGCCCAGCAGATTCCGCCCGTCGGTCGGGGGGGGGGCGAGCGAAGCACCGATCTGGTGGAAGCGAAGCACCGGGGGAGTCCGGTGGGACGTGAAACAGCGGTCTGGTGGGGGCTGTTTGGGAGGCTGTAACTTGTTCGGCGAAACAACCAAGGTAGACTGCTCGGACAGGGGTTTCTCATGGTTTCTCTACAAAGGAGACGGTTTTCCCGGGTGCATGTTCGTTGGTTGGGTACAGTAATGGCAGAGCGGCAGTTGATGGCGGCGAGCTGCCATGAAAAAAGCATGTTTGGAGTGAATGGAAAAGGATGTCTCCCAAATGATGGTTCTAAGGTTGTTCCAAGTTCTGATGATGTTTGTGTTCGTTTCTTCCCCCTCATATAGTTCTACAGTAGTTTCGATGACGAGGTAGGATGACGAGGTGGGGTCCCCGGACATGTGCCGAATTCTTCGTCGTGCTCATTTTTTTGGTGGTACAAATGCAGGCACCATTGGAGCCCAGAGTGACAAAGACTTAGTTTTGTTCCCATTCGTGCTTGCCATGGAGAAGAAAAGGGATTATGGACAAAGCAGTGGGGCGTCACCATGTCATGCTGCATTTCGTCTTAAATATTCTGAAGAGCTCATATCTTCACATCGCTTCACAGGGTCGACGGCTAAGTCACTGCCTTTGGCGAACTTCTCGTCCGCGATTCGGGGCAGGTATTTCCCTCCTCGTCGGCACCTGGCCAACCAGGGCAGGATACCGACATCGAACGGCCTCGAAGATGCTTGAAGAAGCATGAAGAAGCAAGGTGTACTGCTTTGGGTCAGTCTCGGTCCACACACTAGGCCAGTCATGTCAACCACATGGAAAAACTCTTAGTCTTAGCAGGGTTCATGGTTCACACAATTCTTTATAATGTATGTTGAACAATTCTGCACCGGCTTCGCATAATTACCAAAAGAAGACTTAGGCCCAAACAATTTTTAGCGTCAAAGCACATCGCATGTCACTCTGTTTTGACGAGTGTTTCGACTCGTCAAAGCACATCTCAGTCAGAACCTGAGACTCGATTTGGCGACTGAACACGTGCAGGAAGTATCGCGAGGTGGGCTTTTACAACATCAATTGGCAGGCATCGCCACACGTCTCGATGGGTTCACCCACCTCGAAGTTCTCGACGAGAGGTGTAGATGAAAAGTGTCACATGTTGGGGATCTCAATTCAAATTGCTTTGAGCAGGACATTGGTGGATCCAGCAACCCAAACTCCGAAGACTGGAAAAGACTGGAAAGACACCAAAGACTCTCCATCTCATGCCAGAAGACGGATCCCGATCCTTTCGTTGCTTGACCCTTAGAGGCGCGGGGTCTTCCCTTCGATCCTCTACAACCCCCCAGAGGTTTGGGCGGTACTCCCGCGTGGTCTGCCGCCGTGACCTGCGGTACTCCCGCGTGACCCCCTTATGGGAACTCTCGCGCGACCGTTCACTGGGGTTTCTCTTTCGACCGGATGACTGGATCCATCCAGAGTCGACAGATGATAGGAAGTCCGGAAACGACCATGGCTAAAAATGGACACGATCCGGTATTGGTGGTGCAGACCAGACCCCAAATGGCCCAAAACAAGGGTTTCTTCGGAATTCCAGGCGATTGAATCCATATGAATTCACCACGGTTCTTCGACTTCTTCTATAGGGAGACCGGGTGTGTGTATTTGATTATATACATATATATATATATATACCAGGACCCGACACTGTGGGGTGCCCTGTCTGGAAGCCTATAGGTAGTGTGGGGTAGTCCAGCCAGGACACCCCGACAGGAGGGTCCAGGTATAGGCTGTTGATGATTGATTAAGACATCCATGTGAAGAGGTTTAGCGTATCCAACCCTGCAAGGTTTTCTTCTAAACCGCACGTCTACGTCTACCCGGACCTTACGAATCCACTCGAAAAAGAAAAGAGAAACATCTCGCGCCGCGGTGTGTTTGGGCGTCCGGTCCACAGACGGGCACATACGAGGCTCACGGCTTGCATGGCAAAGACCGCGCTCCTTTGGGCAGCCGGCTTTGTGGCTGCTGCGCCAGTCGACAACCGGTGACCTTCAATGCCCGCCCGACGCTTTGGACGGATCTTCGCCGCGCCGGCGCGAAGCGCCTGCGCTTTTCGCTGGACTTTTTCGGGTGTTCCGATCGAACTTCAAAGAATCTTCTTGCACTTTCGCATGTTTTCTTTGCTGAGATGTTGTGACATGTTGTGACACAGTGGTGGAGATTGCGTGGTGTGTGCTGTTCATGGAAGGTTTGTCTCAATGGGAGGATTGGCTCCTGTTGAAACACAGAATCATGCTGATTTCAGAAGGAATCCTGCACAGCGGTTATTCCAGCTGCTTGTAGTGTTTCAGAGGTTGTTTGGGGGTGTTCCAGCTGCTACAGGTCCTCCAACCTTTTCGTCTATCTGATGGCCAGGATGGGAAGATCGACATGTTTCGGTGGAAGTTTGCGTCCTTCTTCAAGAACCCAGGAGTGCCTTTCTCAGAAAATCACATATATGCCAGTGCCTTTCTTTGTGAGCTCATTCCAGCATCTTCCACGTCACGTTGTCACCTGTTGTTTCACAGATGTTGGTTTGATGGTCCGGTATCTTCGAAACCCATTCCCAACCAGAAACAGTTCTGGTTGTTCCAATATGGCGCCAGTTATGGCGCCATCTTGAGATCCTTCATATAGAAAATGGCTGGGACTGGGAAAACATCCATTTGTTTCTGGTTGGGACACGGTTTTCGTTGGTAAATCAACAGGCTTACCTCCGCACAAGCTCACTCAGCCTCTTGCTGAACCGTGTCTGATGTTCTCTTGGCCGAACATTCCCGAACAAGAACAACAGCGTGTCTTTTGTTTCTATATAACTATAACTCATCGAAGCTTGCGTCACCATGCTGTCACCTGAAGATGCACCAGATGTCATCAGCACGTATGACTAGAGATCCATGAGAGCCTCTCATGTCAATTCACCTGTTTTGGATGCCAAGCAACCTCGAATATGGGAGTCATACTTCATAGATGCCACCACCCGTGTGCTTTTGCGCTTCTGAGGTCACAATGCAGACAGACAAGAAGGAGGCTGGTATCGTTTCTTGCCACGTGTCACTTCCAAGTTCTGTTGCAAGTCAAGTCTAGATAGATAGGTCCTTAGGTCTAGATAGCTTTTCCACCCCTTGGAAAATAGGCGCAGGTCTCCTATTTTCATCTATGTTCCTTTTCCAGATCTTTTGCACCTTGGTTGACTCGATGAGGACATGCTCCTGACCTTCAGCGCTGGTGCGGGCAAGGGCGTCTTCTTCCAATGGGACGGAGAGCCCGGGCCCCACTAGCACCGCACCACCGCACCACCGCACCAGGCGGTCTGCATGGTGAGAGTGTGCGAAGCAAAAGAAACGGGGGATGGAGGACTGAATGATGCGATGGATGGAGAAGTCGACTTGAGACTTGTCGACTTGCGAATCTGGAGTTCAGTGTTTCATAGTGTTTCTCAAAAGAAATTGTGATGTCAGTATCCCATGTTCCAGAATTTGGATCTGGGGTTATTACTAGCCAAGAGCCAAGAGGCAACAGCGATTGCTGGCAAGATTCTTGGGCATCCACAAGGCAGGCTCCCTTGGGGAATAGTGATAAACCACCCTCAAGGTCAAGACCTTTCTAATCCTTTTGTGCTGGTCTTTTGCCTCGTTGGCTTGCTTGGCCAATTCGATGGGACATACGCGGCACACGTTTCTGACCCGGCTGGCCGCCTCGGCCTTCCGCCTCACATGGACCGCCCTCCGTGGCCTGACCGCCCTGACCGCCCTCCGTCTCTCATCCTCCGTGGCCTTCGGAGCGACCGTTGAGCCGACCGTTGAGCCGACGAAGCCCACCGAGGTCGCGCTTTGCGTTCAACCCCAAGGGCGAGGACTTTCAGATCTTCATTCGCAAGGCGAAGCGCCGAAGAAAACGTCATGTAGCGCATCCACGGTGGAAAGTTCAATTGAACCCAATTTTACGGGCAACCATAAATAACTTGGATGTTCGACTGAAGCCTTCACCCCCAGTGGTTTCAGAGGCTCGATGGCACAATCCCCAAGTTAGGAGGTTTATATGGGCCTCCTGTCGTAGGACCGAACCGACTGGGCTGATGGGGCAGAAGGCTAGGCGGCTAGGCCACCGCCAGACACCAGGCGCTGCCCACCCCCCAAGGCAAACGAAGCAAATGCATCCAATGATTGACCTGGCATCCAGGATCACAGTAACAGTGAGTGACCTGGCAGTGAGGCTAATTTACAACCCTATGCAGCTTATGCAGCACCCTCCACCCTCCACCTGGCGTGGAGCCTGTACTTACAACCATAGACCCAAATTTCGAATGACCACACTCACCTGACATGTTCTCGTCGCACTCCCAAGAAACTGACCAACGGCACCTCCAACAGCAGATTGGTGTGTACCAGGCAACGACCCCCTTCATGGGATCATGTCGACTCAGCGCCACCACGAAACCACGAAACCCACCCCGTGCTGGACGGCCCTTCTTCACAGCCTAGCCAGCATGCTTTGCCAGCCTGGCAAGCCTTGCAAAGCACCAAGTATGATGAGAACAACTGCAGCTAGCAGCAAAGCCACATACGAGAAAGACAACGAGAAAGACTAGCATGGCAATTCATCACCTGCGACAGCAATCACCAGCGGCGGCCTCCCAGTGCGCATCCATTTCGTGGGAAGGCTCACCCCGTTGTACGGCCAGGGACACCGGTCTGACCAGTGCCATATCCATGTATACATGTATGGCCATCCTGCTATATGCTGCTTCGGTCTTCCATGCGTGTTTCAGGGAGTGTATGCGATACTGCTAGACTGAAGCAACTTTGTTGAGCTGCCTTAAACTCTCCACAAGGTCACCGCAAAGTGGGGGGGAGCGTAGAGAAGCGGCAACATACCAAATCGAGGCTGTCCTTGCATCAGGTTTTGGGATGGGGAAGAGATCAATAACGTGGAAAACTTGAGATTGGGGACATTTGGAGACGTTTTTGGAGTGTCGACACTCCACACGTTTCGAAGCTACTGCTGTGGCATGGCCTGTTACACCAAGACACTCCAGGAACCTGCCCCCCCGCGAATTCTGGAGGTGACATTGGGACTTCTCATCCCTTTGGAATCCGACTTCTTCGCAGTACCGGTTGGTCCACCACCGAATCACCGATGGAACACGGACCTGGGAAGCCTGACGGCCTCAGGCGAGGCCTGGGGGCGTCGTTGTTTTCAGTGCGCTCTCCGGTCAGGTGTTAAACGTTCCCGTGGTGATTGGGCCCTGGGTGAACACCGGCCGGGCACCCAGGAATGCAGAGGGGTCCATCATCGAGTTGAATGGTTTTCCATTAAACACATCCAAAACAATTCTCGCACTACCAAGCGTTTTGAACACACTCAATCCATGTTTTTTGGCCATGTGAGTTTTGGACATTGTATTTGAGTTGGTTTGCTCGAATCCTGTGGCACAACCTGCCGTCTCAGGACTCACTGGGAACTTGGATAATGGCGATCCTGCCGATGCCTTGGCAATCAGAGCCAGCCTTCAGCAGCCTTCAAGTCAGATTATGGTCAGTGACAGTGACGACATTGCTCTCGCCAAGCATTTTCAAAAATTTGAAGGAAAGACACTGGTAGCATCTCAGAATCGAGGTCCCTGCATTTTCTCACTCTTTGAGGGCTCTTCTGGGTCGAGTGTCTTCTCAGATCTTCTCAGGCTGTACGAATTAGTTCTGTAGTCCCATGGCGGCTATAGCCGGCTAGCCCGTCTACCGCTGCGACGTCGTTTGGGAACAAAGCATGAATCAATATGGACAAGCCGAATTCTAGTAACAAGTGCATCGCTACTAGTAACAAGTGCATTACTAGTAGCAGGAAGCTACTAGTAGCATCTAGTAGCTATTTGCTACTAGTAATGCACTTGTTACTAGTAGCGATGCACATGCCAGTCCCAGAAACCGGTTGCGTCTGGGCCTTTCGAGCTCGACATGACATGTCAATGTTTCCAGCCTCTTGCATGCAGTGACTCTCTGCCTCTTCAACAGCCCCAACCTCGCTGAGCTTCAGGGCCAACGTCTTCAAACCTTTTTGCAACGACCGCTGGCACGACCGCGCCCTCCCAGCAACACGGAAGAGCTTTCCGCCATTCCGGGCGCCGGTAGACGACGGTCTCCACGGCTTCGGCGGCCAAGGTGAGCTTTTCCTTCTGTGGCCGGACGCCTGAGGAGGTGGCAGCTGTGAAGAGGTGCCGGGGGGGGGGACCCGGTGGGGCGATGAAGTGGTGGGGGGAGAAACCGTGAAAACCCGGGCCCGGCCAAGTCATGGGCGGAAGTGAATCGAGTTGACAAGTCTTTTTGGAGTTGTTTTTTTTGTTCAAGGTAGACTTGGTTTCCAGACTCACAATTCCGGGGTAGACAGTTCTTTTCTAGGGTTCTCAGATATGACATGACCTAGAAAATTCATTGATGCGGAGTGAGTCGACTTGGCAGGCGTGCTCTTCAAGCTGTTTCTGGACATTTAGATGCCGAGCTGAATGCCAGCGCTGAGGAGACGGCCACTCTTTGATTGAGCTTGGATGTAAAGACGGAAAACCCGGAACGGTTTCCCGAACTCTCCTTGAATTGGACCCTATAGAGTCAAGGGTTTCGGAGGATGCATACAGTACTCTTTGGACCCTCATCTTCACCTTTGAGGGTTCATGATGCTGACATATTCTTACCGAGACACTCAATGTATGGCATATGAATCCATACATTGGGGTGCATGAAAAAAAGGGTCAATGTAGACATATAATATACACCATACATGGAGTGTCTGGGTTAGGGCAATACAAGAGTCCAGTTCTCAGCGCTTTTTCCTGACCTCTGGCAGGTGAGGCTGCCGTCTGCCGAAGAAGAGCAAACTTTGGGGCCCCTAGCTTGCTTGGGTGTGTATTTGAATAGGCGGACCTCCCAAGCAATGGGTAGACGGGTCTATTTCGCTAGGTCTCGGTCTCCCTATTGAGCTACACCCCCATGATCTTGGAAAGTGACCCGAAAACTCCAGTGACTTCGACGATTTTTGGGAGATTCCTCGGAAAAACGCCATGTTCGCACGTATTTCACGCCATGGTTCGCTCGGAACCAACGGAGCGATCGCGCCTCGAACCGTTCGCGATCGGACGGGGCTGATGGCACCGTGGCACGGGTGGTCTCCCGGTACCAGGAGCTCCAAGCTGCGGGCATGCACTCGACAGGTGGGGGGACATAAGCTTCCACTGCAGGCGGGAGAAGTCGCACGTCTCACGTCGCCTCACGTGCCAGGGGGAGGAATGACCGTTGGAATGCTAGTCGTCTACTCGTGACTTGCGAACGGGAGAAGGACGAGTCGGGAGATATCTTGCCGGAGCTTGGGCGAGAGCTAAAAACCGCTGAGCTGAGAAAGGCGAGTGGAAGCCGCACACGGATGGTAGAACGCGATGGAGTCCTGAACCCCCAGTTGGGGTGGTAGACATGGACAACCCTTGACCTTTAAGGGGCACCCTTTCCGTGGTGCTGGGTCGTGTTTTATGGTTCTGTCCGCTTTCTTGGAGTCGAATGCCTCGGGGGGGGACGCGCTAAAAGCTCACGCGGGTCGCGTGATTTTCGAGCGGCTCCTGGCAGGACATCATTGAGTTGGCCGCCGATCGGCCGATATCGGTCCTGAGGCACCGGTGGTCAGCGGAAGGAAGCAAGGTCGTTGACGTGGAAAGCGTGGTATCTAGCGGTCAAAAAATGGATTCCTTTTGGCGTCGAAGAGCAAGCATGAAGAGAAAGGTTGACCTGGCTTTTTCATCTTTTTCGTTCAACCGGTCCTTTGCAAAACAAGGGTTGATCGGGAGAGTCCCATTCAAACAAATGGTGGTCGGGTTCATCCTCATAGACTCTGTATCCGATGTAGCGTGTTGACTCGGCCAGGTTCCTGTTGACCTCGGCCGACCGAAAACCCCGGACAGGCCGAACACCTGCCTTGAGCTTTAGGCTGGTAGGCTGGAGGGTCTCAGTAGGGTGTGGCTCCCAAAACGTCGTCCCACCCAGGGCAAGCCCTCCACAGAGCGGCACCGGATAAAGAAAAGTGGTCCTATGCCAGTTGGACAAATTCATGTGGAAAAACAGCTGTCTAGGCTTGTCACCCAGATTTTCGGAGCCATACCCATTTATGACCCACGTTGATCGCATTGCTGCCGCACCGGTCGTGCATTGTGGTAGACCGACCAAGAAGAAACCACGAGAGGTTGGCAAGGTTTATCCCATGAGCCCGTGGCCGTTGTACGGTTGGCGGTTGCGATGGATGGCGCAACACCGAATGGGTGTCGTGATCTAAGTGTGGGTCAAAACGAAGTGAGGAACTTTGTAAAATCAAGAAACATGATGATCCTCGCAGCATCACGTTGCCTTTGTGTGTTACATTTGTTTTGAGACGATGCTGTTCTGTTGGAGAGGACGATGCTCGGTTCCCACCATGTTTTGATTCCATGCTCGGTGGGGCCTAGAACTTGGATACTTGAAGATCCAGAGATCGACCAACGACAATGAAGAATCCTGAAGAAAGTATTTCTTGGATCTTTCTCGGATTTGGTTTTTCACAATTCAATTTGATCGTCTTGACGTTTTCACCGCCATGTGAATGAAATTCACGGGAGCGAGCTCAGAAGGAGGTCAGCTCAAGTTGTTTACACTATACACTCTAGGTGTGCACCAAAGAAATATACAGGACATATTAGAACATTTAAATACATCTATAATATATTTTTAAATATATTAAATAAATTCTTTCAAATAATTCGGCTTATAAATAATGGTTATGGTTATTATTTATTAATATTTACATCTACTGGAGCGTATTGCACATCTTGGACAACAAACATCGGGGATTCACAAATTCACAGCTTTGCGTCCAGTGAATCAAGAGAATTTGCTCCAGGATGCAGTAGTGGCCATCCCGTGGCGCCCCGACTTGAATCTTCGATCCCCAGAAGCTTCCGAACTATATCAACTCCTGCTGAAGTTGTCCAGCAATGGAATCACTTAGCTAGTGCTCCTCAAGGTCCGGTTGGCGAATCTTTAACGGTCGCCACTAGCCAATGCTATCTCCCAACGATTGAGGAAGTGATGAAAGCAGTTATGGCCGTTCGACTGGCTAATGTTGGATCGACCTGCTACATCAATAGTGTGATTCTTGCCCAGGTGTGGAGTTGCACGATGAGCCCGACCTTCAACACTGCCATTTATGGGAACAGCAACTTTTGTGCATGCTTGTGAGTCATGCTGGGGATGTTGTAGACCCATGTGATAGCAATTTCTTATGCCGCATGTTCGTAGATTGGTTCGACACTCACTCGTTCTATGCTCAGCACGATGCCGGTGAATTTGCCGGCTGGTTCAGACAACGACTGTTCGAAAAGACGCTTCCGATGTATATGTAAGCTGGTTGGAGCGCCCGCCTGTTGAGTTCCACTGAAGACCAAGCCATTGGTTTTGCCCCAGTCCCATTGGCATGTGTAGCTGAGGGTTCGACGACTCTGTAATAGCTCATTTTGGATTGGCACCACCAAGAGCCTTTCATTTATAATTTATGCCTTCACACATGATTCACCGTGGCTTTGTCTCCAGATCTCACGGTTTCTTGCCATTGGTGTCAAGAGCACTTGTTCGGTCGAATGGGATCGCCGTATATCTCTTAAAGTGCCCATAATCTTCTGTGATACCCGCATTTTGTGGCATAGCGGCACGGCCTTGGAATGTGACGACTTCCGAGCGACCTTACCCCTTGGCGTTGATTCTGAGGTTGCCAAAACGATATACCTTGTTTGGATTGTGTTACGTCGGCTTATTGATAGCCTTTGGAGTCGGCCGCTTCCTTTGCCATAGAAATCCTTTGATGATTTGCTTGGTGACAGATTTGCCTAATTGTATTTTTGGCTATCCCCTTTTGATGCCTTCGAGCTTGGTATATAGACACACTAGATGCGTCCGGCGAACAAACTCTTTCCACTGCCCCATACGGACAATTCGAAATGATTATTTCACGAAAGGATACGAAAGGTATCTTTTTAGGGAATACCTTGAGTTTGTCTTGCGAAACAAATATTGGCGCGTCCGGGTCTGATGATTGATTAATTTAACCCCCCCTCCCTCGAATTGATTTCTTAATACAGACCCCCCACTTCTTTGGAATTGATTTCTTAATATAGACACCCCCCCCCGTCCCCTTGGAATTGATTTCTTAATATAGATCTTCCCCTCCATATGAAATTCTAATTACGAAAGGTGTTTCCCGAGGGAATACATACCTAGAATTTATTTTGTGAAGCACGTTAATTTTTTCCTTGGGGAACGTTTTCGTGAGTGAATTTCTTATGGTTTTAGGATAATTTAATTTTTATGATGTTTCGATTTAATATTTATCGATGATTTGAGTTATGGGGCAAATTTGTTTTCTTAAGAATCTTTTTGAATATTTCGAAAGAATATATTTAAACATTTAAAATATATATGAATTTATATTTACGAAAGGTCGTTTCCGAGGGATATATCGAACATTGCTTTATTGTTTTTGCCTCTCGCGTTTTTTTTTTTCGTTGTTTTATTTTTCGTATTTTTCTCTTCTTAAGTGGAAGATGAAATTAATTAAATAAATAAATAAATTAATTATATTGTTTAAAATATATTTATTGTATAATTAATATATATATTATATATATATAATTAAAATTATGTATATTTATTTTATTTCGAATGATTTCTATTTGGCAATCTACTTGGTATTTTATTAGGCATTTTATTTGGCATATTATCTGGCATATTATTTGGCATTTTGTCTGGCATATTATCTGTCATTCTATTTGGCATATTTTCTGGCATTCTATTTGGCATTTTATTTGGCATTCTATCTGGCATTTTATCTGGAATATTTTCTGGCATTTTATTTGGCAATGTATTTAGCAATTTATCTGACACATTATTTGGCATATTATCTGGCATATTTTCTTGTAACATTCTATCTGGCAATTTATTTGGCATTTTATCTGGCATTTTATTTGGCAAACTGTCTGATTGAGGTCTAACGGTGCACACTGCGATCGGATCCTTGCGGTTGAGGTCTAGCGGTGCCTACTGCGATCGGATCCTTGCGGTTGAGGTCCAGGGGTGCACATTGCGATCGGATCCTTGCGGTCCGGTTGAGGTCTAGGGATGCCCACTGCGATCGGATCCTTACGGTTGAGGTCCAGGTGTGTAGATTGCGAGGGGATCCTTGCGGTTGAGGTCCAGGGGTGCGTACTACGCTCGGATCTTTGCGGTTGAGGTCCAGGGGTGCACACTGCGATCGGATCCTTGCGGTTGAGGTCCTGGGGTGCACACTGCGATCGGATCCTTGCGGTTGAGATCCAGGGGTGCACACTGCGATCCGGAGCTGGCCAGACAAGATTGGCGAAGCAGATTGGCGATGAAGATTGGCGAGGAAGGAAGGAAGGAAGGAAGGCAGGAAGGAAGGAAGGCAGGCAGGGAGGCAGGGAGGCAGGGAGGAAGGCAGGGAGGAAGGCAGGGAGGAAGGGGAAGGGAAGGGAAGGGAAAGGGAAGGGAAGGAAAGGGAAGGAAAGGGAAGGAAAACAAGGAAAGGCAAAGGCAAAGGCAAAGGCAAAGGCAAAGGCAAAGGCAAAGG